TCTCCAATCTGCAGGAGACCCTTCCGGGTCCTAAAACACACCCCATGATGGCACTCTCCGCTCAGACACGACAGTCCCACCCTGCCTCCCCTCTGTCTACAGGAGCCCTGGGCCAGGCAGAGCATTCCTAAGAAAGGCCACCTGGGATGGCCACAGCCACCGCCCCAGAGTCCCCAGACACCCACCCTCGGGGCCGGGCTTCCCACCCCTACCCCTCCAGAGGCAGGACGCTCACCAAGGCACCTGTGGCACAGCCACTCCCTGCTCGCCCGCCTCGTGAGGACACAGATGATGCCTCCCTACAGGCTTCCTGGCACCCAGGGGTTGAGCCCCACATGCAGAGGGGCAGCAACAGAAGCTGGCGCCTTCCCTGTGCAGGCCGGGTGGGCAATGCGCTCGGCGTCACACGGGGGCCCTGGACTGTGAGCCAGGGACGGAGTGCACATGTGAGCGTGGGCCGTGGGCCAGTAAAACTGTATTTACACAAATGTGCCGGCTGACTTACCTGCTGGCCGCAGGTATGCCAAAAAGAAAGGCAGAAAAAGCAAATGAAGCAACACGTGAAAACAAAAGTTCCCAAAAGCAAGGCGAGATCTGTCCTGTGGGGTCTCGGGTGCTGACAGGACAGTTGTTCTTGGCCTGGCTCCCGCTCAGGGAAGGAGACAAACCACAGCAGCACCTGCACAGGTCACCCAGGAGGACAGGGACGGGTGGCCTGAGCAATCCAGCACACAAGGAGCCAGCACACCTGTCATGGCAGCTACTCAGGAGAGCAAGGCAGGAGGGTCAGCGATCTGAGTCTAGCCGGGCAAGGTGGCAAAGCCCTGTCTCAAAAAAATAAGGGCTGGGGGCACGGCTCAGTGGTGAGCGTCACTGAGCCGGTGGGAGGCCCTGGGTTCCAGCCCCAGCTCTGCCAAAAAAACAAAACAAAAACAGCCAAGTCAAACCACAGTGACCACGAGGCAGAGGCTCAGAGCCGGTCCCGGGAGGGCGGCGGCAGGGGCCACGGAAGCCAGCGCACAGGAGCCAGGCCGGCGGTGCTGGAAAACGGCCCGGGCTCTGTGGCCCAGGGGACCCTCATCAGGCAGCGAGCGTGCCAGGCCCTGCACGTGCCACGTGCCCTCTGCACACTCAGGGCAGCTGAGGATCACCGGGCTTGAGTGTGAAGTGTGACGTGACATTCACCACGATGGGAATGGTCCATCTGATGTCTTGGAACAGCGGTTAAGCACGGCAACAGAAGCTGCAGCAATCAGAGCCAGAGCCGGACGTGGAGCAGGATGCCCCTAAGCAGCCAGGGCGGCAGAACTCAGGGACCGAATCCCGGACACAGCCCGACACGGCGGGTAGGCACGGGCAGCAGCACAGCCCATTGTCCCAGCGTTCCAGGAGGCTGAGGCAGGAAGAGTTCAAGCCCAAGCCCAAGCTGGGCAACTGGGTGACTTAGCAAGACTCCGTCTCAAAAAATAAAAAGGGCTAGGGGTGCACCTCAGTGTGGAGGCCCTGGGTTCAGTCTCCAGTACCAAAAGAAAAAAGAGAAAAGAAAGGAAGGGGCCAGGGATTTAGCTTAGTGGTACCACACCTGCCTCACAAGCACAAGGTCCTGAGTTCAATCCCCAGCGCCAAAAAAAAGAGAAAGAAAAGAAGGGGAAACGGAAGGACAGTGGAAGGCAGGCAGGAAAGGGACCTGCAGTGGGGGTACAGCTCCCTGCTCCCTGTTGCCAAAGCAGCGGCCTGAAAACGCCTGGGCAGCCCGTGGGACCCTCCAGCCAGCTCTGCAGGCATCTGGGCCCATATGCGGCCCCTCGCCCCAAGACGCCTTGGTGGGGACACATCTCTCCTGGGCACAGGACAGTGACCTGGGCTCAGGGGTCTGGACAGGAAGGGCGGCCTCAGTATCCCCCATGCTGGGCGAGGCGGTCAGCCTGCCCCAGTCAGGACAGGCGAGGAGGAGCTCGGCCACCTCGCGCCACGCCACCGGGGCAACTGTCCCTCACACTGCATGGGGCAGGAGCAAGGCGCCGGCACTGCAGTGCGCCCGTCCCCACGCCGGCCTCCTCTCCTGGAAACAGCGCGGGCAGTGTGACGTCCTCCTTTCACTTCTGCTTTCGGAGCGAACCTGCAAGGCGCCGGCACTGCAGTGCGCCCGTCCCCACGCCGGCCTCCTCTCCTGGAAACAGCGCGGGCAGTGTGACGTCCTCCTTTCACTTCTGCTTTCGGAGCGAACCTACCCAGAGGCAGGGCAGCAGGGCCCCGGCCCTGACCCCGCCCTGCTACCAGGGAGCCAGGGGGTCCCAGTCGAGCCAGCCCCCCCCCAAGAAGTGCCCAGATGCCCCCTGCTCAGGCCGTGTCACGGCAGGGTCCGTCAGCTGGACAGGCTGGCTCTCCACGGTGCCCTTCCTGTCGGCTCCTGGTCAGAACTACACGGCGAGGCTGCACCCCCAGGGGGAGGAGGCACCGAGACGCCCTGACCTCAGACACCCCACTTCTCCTTTTGGGGAGCAGAAACAAGCCCGGGTGCTGCCACCGTGGCCCGGGATGTGCGAGGGCAGTGAGCAGAGCCTGGCTGGCTGGGGAGCCCAACCACAGGAACCCATCTGGGACACAGGGTCTTGGGAGATGTAAAGACCAGGATTAGCTGGCCTGGGGTGCACACCTGACTCCCAGCACTCTGCGGCAGGAGGACCACCCAGAGTCCAGGCCAGCTTGGACCACACAGCAAGGCCGACTCAAACGCACAAAAAGACAAGAGGAAGGTCAGCATCTGTAAAGGGCGTCCCAAGACTCAGGGTGAGCTCCAAGTGGCTGGAACTTAAGGGTGACATCTAGGTCTCACTGTCCTGATCTGGACCCTACAGTGACAGGGAGGGCTCCTGTGGTGATGCACCCCCAGCCAGGGACACCAGGAGCTCCCTTCCTGCCCAGAAGCCGGGAGGCCTAGGACTGAGACTCCTGGGACATCAGCAGTGTCTGGGACACCTGGGGTTGTCACACAGGTGTGGTGGGCTGGCTCAGACGCTGGGGAAGGGTCGGCCTCATGCTCGAGTGGAGCCCACAGTGAGCAGCTTGGCTCCAAGTCTAGACCCTATGGAACAGTCCTGAACCGGGCATGGTGGCACACACCTGTCATCCCAGCATTTGGGAGGCTGAGGCAGGAGGATCACCGTGAGTTGGAGGCCAGCTTGGACTGCACAGTGTGACCCTGCCTCAGAAAAATTAAAAAACAAAACAAAACAGCCAAAGTAGCCGCAGGAAGCGTTTTCCGGGGGAGGTGCAGCTGGCTCATGCTCGGAGAGCACACCACTCTCACGCCCTGCTGACAGCCTGGGGAGCCAGCCCTGCTGGCATCACGGCTGACTCACGCACGGTAGTGACTCACAGAGCTGACGAGGACTAGGAGGTGCGGTGGGGCCGAGGGCCAGCAGGGCAGGACTGGGGGACGAATGTGGCTCCCGGGGGTCTCCCACAGGCTGGCTGATGTCTCCACAAGAGCTCCACGTACACCCTCACCCCAGAACCCAGGAGCCCGGCTGTGTGTGGAAGTGGAGCTAGGACCTCTCGGGGCGAGTTCGCAGGTTGCCAGCGCTGGAGGTGGGGGTTCCGGGTCAGCGCCCGCCTGTCCACGCAGGGCTGGGACCTGGGGTGGCCCCCACAGGCCACCGCCCAGCCCGTTCTGCTCCTGGGGCCTCGCAGAGCTGGGTCTGCCTCGCTGGGAGTCTCCAGGCTATGACATCCACGGGGACCTGGGGCCCCTCCTAGCTCTTTCCCTGCCATGCTGGCCACCAGGCAGCCCTGCATGGGGACAGCGCCGTCAGGGGTGGCCCCAAACTCCCAGGCTGACCCAGACAACCCACCCTCCCCGGCTGTGGCGCTCAGGGGCGCCGAGAGCAGACGCCCACTGAGACTAGCACCTGTGCCTCCACACCCCAACTCCAGCTCCCTCCAGCACGGTAAGCAGGGATAGACGAGGACCCCTGGCAGCCCCGGGGGAGGCGAGGGCAGCCGAGGACCTCACTGCACCACCACGGCCAGCACCTTGGCCCTGGGTTTCTGTTTCCTCCCTGCAGACCACACCTGGCTCCTGGAAACCCAGCCGGAGCACAGGAGCACAGAGATGGGTTCCAGAGTTGACGCCCAGTATGACCCTGCACGCTCACTCTTCCCGAAGAAGCAGAAAGCAGCTGCACACCAGGCACAGGGCGTGACCCGGCAAGGGACGGCGTGAGGCCCACGCAGCAGGTGCTGACTGCACCGTGGCCCGCATTTGTGGCTCCGGGAGATGGGGTCCCCACTCCCATTCCTCTGTGGTGCACTGTCACGTCCATGGGAGAGGGCTGCCCCACACCTCGAAAGGGTCCCTGGTGTACGGGGTGGGTCCAGGCCGCGGGTGCTCAGGTCCCTTCTGCCAGAGGGCACGGTGCTGGCACAGAGGCCGGCACAACCTCCTGCAGCCCTGCGGCCTTCACTAGGTGCCCGGGCACTCCATGGAGTGTAAAGTTGCGACACAGCTGTCACACTGTGCTGTCTACAGACTCCGACAGCAAAGTCGTGTGCACGCCTTCAAAACATTTCCTACTCGTGGCCCAGTGAGCCCACAGACTGATACTATAACAGAATATTATGCAGCAGAAAAAAAGAGCTCAAGTCTTAAAAAGACACAGAGGGGCTGCAAATGCCCGTTGCTGTGGAAGAGCAGGCAGTCTGAAAGGGGCCAGGCTTGACCTTCTCCCTGCAGTGCCAGGGAGGGAACCCAGGGCCTTCTGCCTGCCAGCCAAAAACAGGCCACACACCTTGGCCTGGAACCCAGAGTTCCCCACATACCTGGGGAGTGCCACACTGCTGAGCAGCACCTGGAGCACCGACCCCTACCTGAGGCTGAGGCAGGAGGGTTGCTGAACTCCCAGTCCATCAGTGTGAGCAGTCTCGAGACCCGGTCTCAAAGGGCCCAGGGGACAGACATACGCGGGAAGGCCCCCACCCGCCTGCCTGCTGCCACTCACCTCCAGCACAGGCCCGGCGCCCAGGATGGTCCTCTCCACGCCGCTGGCGTAGCCCTTCTGGCTGAGCGCGGTGAGGCAGTGGATGAGGAAGTTGGTGCTCTGCGTCTTGCCTGAGCCGCTCTCGCCCGAGATGACGATGCACTGGTTCACACGCTTGCGCAGCATGGTGTAGTAGGCCACATCGGCCAGTGCAAACACGTGCGGCTCCAGCTTACCCAGCCGCTGGTTCTCGTAGAGCTTCACGTACTTGGGGTTGTAGATGGGCAGGAACTTGAAGGGGTTCACGGCCACCAGGATGCTGCCAGCATAGGTGTAGATCTTCTGCTGCAGAAAGCGGCACCGGAGGCTCTTGAGCAGGCCGTCCTCCGTGAGCTCGGGCAGCTTGCACAGGTCATCCACGTCGGCTTGCGGGGCCGGCAGGAGGCCGCGCTGCACCAGGCGCCGGG